AGGCCTACAGGAATGGCACCCAGCGCCCACAGTTCATCTGTTAATCAGCTACAGCCTTGTAGCTTTTTTTAAATTGAAGTTTAATTACTTAAACTTTACTATTTTACCAAAATTGTCATAAGCGTGGATCTCAGTCGGCAAACTCTTCTGTAAAGAGCCAAACAGTAAATATTTTAGGCTTTTGCCCATTTTTCTTTCAGTCTCTATTCCGAGTACTAAACCTGCTATCTTAGTGCAAAAGCAGCCAGACAACAGCGAAATGCACAAGTGTGGCTGCATGCCAACGAAACCTTATTTATGGGCCCTGAGATCTGAACTTCCATATATTTTTCAAACAAAATATGTTTTTCCACCATTTAAAAATGCAGAAACCATTCTCAGCTCTCAGGCAGAACAGTAAAAGGCAACAGCAGGCCAGATTTGGCCTATGAGCCATCATTGGCTGATGCCTGATTTAGACTAACCCAAACTGTGTCGACAAACAAGTCTGCAGTCCCCACAGGCCTCCAGCAGTAGATACCTATGCACTGACCCTGTTTATCTCTCTCCTTCTGTTCTGGAGGACCACAGTGTGTGTCTGGAATATCTAGCCATCTAATCAACACATCAAACAGGGTAGTTTTGTTCCAAGGGCATAGAGAGCTTCAGCAGTGAATTAAAATTCCCTCTCTTAAAGAAAGGTAACAATCTGTAAATAAAGGTGTGTGTGTGTGTGTGTGTGTGTGTGTGTGTGTGTGTGTGTTGAGGGGAGGTGTCAATTAACACAGGACAGCCACTGCAGCTTTCGCTTTTATGACCCGAAACACTGGACAAGACCACAGTCCATTCGCACCAAGAAAACCCAAACAACAAAAAACAGATGAACTTGAGATTGTGCCTTTCAAAAGTCCTTTCCTAGGTGATGTCGCCTTACTGATACATCTCCCAGCAAAGAGAAAGAAGAGTTAACACCAGCAATTTAAACCCTTTGCAGAGGAAGGCAGACAGATAGCAAACACAGAGCTACCAGCCCAAGCACTACAGCCACCATTCTGGTACATTCAAGAAACTTCTTGGCCTACAGTTTTAACAGTTAGTCTGAAACCGGCTTCTATCTGTGGCTTAAAAAAACCGTACAACCTCATCCACTGTCTAATTCCTAGTATGGCATACAATCCTGCCTTAAGAAGAGTTATTACAGGCCCATCTCAGGGATATTGCGGGTTTGGTTCCAGACCACTGAAATAAAGCAAGTATTGCATATAAAGTGAGTCATATGCATTCTGTTGTTGTTTTCCCAGTGCATAAAAAAAGTTATGTTTACACTATACTGTAATTAAGTATGCAATAGCATTATGTCTAAAAAGATAATATATATACTTTAAGTAAAAAGCACTTTATTACTAAAAAATGCTAAACATCATCTGACAATGCAGGGGTTGCCACAAACCTTCGATCTGTAAAAAAATGTTGTATCTGGGAAGTGCAGTACAATGAGATACGTCTGTATAGGGTTCAGACACTTTAGGTCCCTAAAAAGCTTCCAATAAAAAGAAAATTAGTTCAAAATAGATGTAGATGTTTCCCCAAGTTCAAAGAATTAGATGGAGCTTGGGATGGAGGCCATGGGTCAGTACATGGGATGCAGCCACACATTCGAGGGCCCTTCTGCACCAGGAAGCCAGGATCTGCTACTAACAATTCATAGATCATCCCCAGAGAAGACAGAGTCTTACATGATCTATACCTGCTGTTGCCCCATGTCCTGAACCGCAGAAACATGAAAGACTAACCTTATCAGGAGCCAAATAATCAACAATTTTTGAAGAAAGAGAACCATCCAGGCCCAGAAATTAGACTTAAACATTAGACTCCAGAAACTTTTGTCCACTGATCTCTTTCCTGGTCAGGCTTGTGCTTTGGCTGTATTTTTACACTTACTGTGTATGCATGACAAGGCCATCAACAGGGCTCTGGACAAGGACTGGGTGTTGGGGAGAAGAAACCCTAGAAGGCAGGATACTGCCAGGCTGATGAGGAATCATGCTGTTATTTAAAGACCCTAAATTGAAAGATTTCATAATATGTAGTGGCTGTTTCCTAGTCTGTACCCCTGCCATATTCATGGTCCGCGATCATGATCTACTCCACTGAGCTTTCTTGGTTCATAACTCTCTAAAAGGAAAACTTCAGGAATTCCCTGGGGGTCCAGTAGTTAGGACTCCGCGCTTCCACTGCAGGGGTCACGGGTTCAATCCCTGGTCGGGGAACTAAGATCCTACAAGCCGCACGGTGTGGCCAGAAACAAACAAACAAACAAAAGACACAAAAGGAAAACTTCTAGAAAGAGTGAAAAAGAGAGTATGAGCTACAAGTTACCAAAACTTGTAAAAATGAGTCAGTGGCATAGGAAGGACCAAACAATTGGGTCTGTGTAGTTCTGGGGGCCTAGGCCATACTGGCCTCCATTCAACTAGCAAAGAATCTGTCAGGATGAATCAGACTACCAGCTGACAGGATGGTGAGGAAGGGGGCGGCCCAGGCTGAGCAATTCAAAGAGGCTTTCAAACAGCTACTTAACGTGTCTCGTGAGCTTGATTTGAATTTGAGGGGAAGAGGCCACAGAATAGTTCTCTCAGGCTTTCAAACCTCCATTCGGATCCGCCAATCCTGAGAGAAGAAGAGGGAAGCTATGAAGCCGCATCTCTGTCACTGAGATTGCTACACAGCGAAGTGCCCCCACACAAGTCCTCCCACACGCAAACTTGCCTGTTCCCACACAGTCTCTGCCTGAACCCATGGTAAAAAGCAGCCCGGGGACAGTCGGGGGAGTTCACAGCAGGGCAGCACGGTATGGAGCTCACCATGAAGGCAAAACCACATCACAAAAAGCTGATATCATTTCCCCAGTAATTCCAGCTCCGTCACAAAGTCCAGCACAGGGAACCTGACCTCCCATGGCGACCCATGAGGAAGCTGCTAAGCAAGAAAACAGAATCACTGTTGGGAGAATAAATTCATGATCAGATCAAAAACTAGGTAACTGGATAACTGAAAGCTGGCTCTACTCTGTCACTGCAGGTGACAGTGACAGACACTGGAATAGAAAAAGCATGTGAAAAGGACATCCCTCCTAGACGCCCGTCTCCAGGCAGCAGCCCGCCAGCCTTTGAAAAAGGAGTCAAGGCATCATCCTTCTGCTCAAAGCCCTCTGCTGTGGGCTGGACTGTACTCCAAAAGACAAGCTCAAGCTCTAACTCCCCACACCTTGGAATGTGGCCTCATCTGGAAGTACAGCTGAGCCTTGAACAACGTGGCAGTTAGGGGTTCTGACCCCCGACCACCCAGCACCGTTGAAAACCCTCCACATCAGCGGTGCTGCACCCTCAGATTCAACCAACCGTGGATCGTGTAGTACTCTAGAACATACTTACTGAAAAAAATCTGTGTGAGTGGACCCGCACAGTTCAAACCCACGTGGCTCAAGGCTCCACTGTGGTATCTTTGCAGTAGTCCAGTTAAGAGGAGGTCAACCTGGATTAGGGTGGTCCCTAAACACAATGACTGGTGTCCTTACAAGAAAGCCACTGTGCAAGACACAGAGACACACAGGGAGGAGCTGGCCATGGAATGAAGGAGGCAGAGAGGGGAGTTTTGCTGCCACAGGCCAAGGAACACCAAGAACTGCTGGCAACCACCAGAAGCTAGAAGAAACAAGGAAGAATCCTTGCCTAGAGCCTTTGGAGGGAGCGTGGCCCTGCCAACACCTTGATTTCGGACTTCTGGCCTCCAGAGCTGTGAGAGAATCAATTTCTGTTGCTTCAAGCCGCCCCGTTTGTTTGTGGCACTTTTGAAAGGCAGCCCTTTCCTGTTTCACTCAGGAGGAAAATCAGTGCCTCGTTACAAGGCGACCCAGGCCTCGCCCAACCCGGCTGACTGTGGCTCCCAGAGCTCCCTGCCCAGCAGGTCGCTGCAGCCACCCTGGCCTCTTCCCTGGTCCTCGAACATGCTACCACCCTGCCACCACGTGCCGGCCCATGCCAGCAGCAGGCTGCTGCTGTCTCAGACCTTCACAGGTGCCATCCCCTGTGCTGGAAAACTTCTCGGGAACCTGCACAGCTGTTTCCCTCAATCCCCCTTCAGGGCTCTGCTCAAGTCCCCTGATCAGTTGGGCTCCTCCGCCCCCCATCGGCCTTCAGCGCCTCCTCCCCACCCCTGGCTCTGTTCCCCCTTCCCCTGCTTTATTTTTCCCCAAAATCCTTAGGACAAGCTGACATATACATTTTGCTTAACCTCTAAGAGGCCCGTCTCCCTCTGTAATGCTGGCTTGCGGAGA